CTCTCTCTCTCTCTCTCTCTCTCTCTCTCTCTCTCTCTCTCTCTCTCCAGAATAAATGGGATGATCACCCTGGCTTGAGGGGGGCATACCAGTGAGATACCATCTAGTTTTTATTAAATATACAAGTATTAGTTGGTCCCTGAAACAAATGTCCACACATTGTCATGTTATAAATGGCAACAGTACAAGAGTCCCACCTGTAGAGTCCCCGAGGACCACTCTGGACCACTCTTGGATATCTGTAAATCCATATGAGATGCTCAGTGAGAGGAGACACATTACCACCTAAGCTCATGAATGACAATAATGCAGAAGGGAAGATTCAATTCAATTTGGATGCAGGACCAATAGTTGTTGAAGGCAGAACTCAGAGAATCTCAGAGTTGAAAGAGGTCTCAGAGGTCTGCTCACCCAAGCTGACCAACAGTTCCCTCCACCACAAGTGGTCATCTGGCCTCTGCTTGGAGGTCATCATTAAGTGGGAACTACTTAAACTCCCTCCTTAGATGGCCCGTTTGACTTTGAGGATGGCTCTAATTGTTAAGAAACTCTTCCTTGAGTCAAACCTAATTTGGCCTCTTAGAAATTCCCACTTGATGCTCCTAGATCTGTCCTCCAGGGGCAAGCGATAACAAGTCTAACCCTTCTTTCGTGTGACAATCTTTCAAATTCTTGAAGAGAGTTACTGTCTCCCCCTTTCATTTTCCCTTCTCCAGAGAGAACAACCCTCATCCTTTCAACTGAGGCTCACACGGCATGATCTCAATGCAGCCTTGTACATTTGTTAAGTGGCATAGTGTTTGAAAAATCACTTTCCTCACAACAATCTCATGAGATAGGTATTGTATTTTCTCCTTATTATGTTTGAGGAAACTGGAGCTCATAGGGGTTGAGTGGTCTTCCCATGGTCACCCAGGGACCCTTTCCTTTCCCTCAGTGTGTCTCCCCATTTGCCCCTTCTTTTCCTGAGAACTCTCCCAATCCCCCAGTGCTCCTGATTCCAAATATGCTTTGTGTTAAGTTTTAGGAGACACTCATACTAGTCCAACAATATCGTCTATGATAATTTCATAAGATATGTTGTGGAATGGAGTTCCCCAAGCTAACCTGACTATGAATCACTTCTAGGCTATAATGGCAGAATTCATCATTGCTGGTCCAAAGGTCCAGTATTGAGAGGGACAGGGAAATTTTGGAGGAAAACAGAGAAAATTAAGCTTATATTCATGCTGAAAAGATGCTGCATGTAATACATAGTTTTTGATTCATACATAGATGGAGATCCCATGATGCAGCCCAAGGGGAGGTCCATGGACTTTGATATAATTGGTTCCCTTTGTCATCCTACGCATTTTATTTTATGCACTTAAACACCTTTTTTCTGAGAAAGGGTCCCCAGACTTTATCAGGCTGCCAAAGGGGTCCAAAAGGTTAAGAATCCCTGGTATAGTGGTAAGAGCACCGAATTTGAAGTCAGCAGCATGACAGAGTGGATAAAGCATTGGCTGTAGGGGTCGGGAAGACCTAGGGTTTGATTCTTGCCTGGCACTTATGAGCTATGTGCTCAAGGGTACTTATTAAGCCTCGGGTTTCTCATCTGTGGAATGGGGATAATGCCCCCATAGGACTGTTTTGAGGTGCAAACAAAACAATAAAAGTGCTTGTGAAGTTTAAAGCATTATGTAAATGTCTCTTATTAGTACTTGTGTGACCTCTGGTACCTCTCTGTGCCTCAGTTTCCTCATTTGTAAAATGAGGGGATTGGAGTAGATAATGTCTAAGGTCCCTCTCAGGCCATGATTTGTGATAATGTATCTTACAAGTGCATCTTCCTAACTGAATGTAAAGATCTCTTCTGGAACTCAAGGGCTATCTAAGGACTGTTCCTCTGGCCAAGAGTCACTCCAAGAAGAATCCTTGAGGGTTGAAGAGAGTTGTAGACACAGCCCAGAGCTATCCGGCAAGCAGCTAAAAATTCTATATCACCACATCCCAGGGAGAGACAAGGCTTTAAGGCTCCACCAAAGAACTCAAGTTTAGTATAAAGAGTTTTCTGGGTGGGTTTTGGCACTAACTACAAAAGTAAGAGGGTGAATGACTGGATAAGAGGAGTAAGAAACCTGTGCCCAACTATTAAAAAAAATTCGATTGTAAGACCCATAGCAAATAAGGAATATACTTAAAGACAGAATGTCTCATTTTGGCCTGGGCTTGTGATTTCACCAATTTAGGGAAATCCCAGAGTGGAAATGCCCTCCAACGATGCAGCTTGACAACTCATCTGCAATCTTGAGTCTTACAGAGTTGCCTGAGCCATGGAGAGAGGAAGAGATATGACCACAGCAGCACAGTTAGTGTGTATCAATGGCAGTCTTCAAGACTCCAATGCTGGCCTTCCATTCCCTACCCCCACCCTTCTTCTCAGTGTCCCTTTTAGTCAAGTTCAAATGTCTAATATATAATGCTTCTTTCAGAGAACCATATGTTCTTTACATGTCTGGACATATCTTTATTCCCCCATTTAGCCTTCCAATTGCTTGCATGCAGCCAGGTCTTCAGCTTACTTTGGTTCTCTCCAAAATAGCAGGTAACAGAAATCAATCAATGGTCCATGATTGACCAATGGATCTTTCTCTTCTTCAAAAGGTTCCTTATAGAAGACTCAGAGCACCTTCTCCAGGGCACCATGGGTACCCTATCTGTTACTTCCCATGATGTTTTGCTTTGCTCTTGAAATGTCTTCAAGGGCCAGAGTGGTACAAGGACTGCCATATTTTTCTGTCTTCCTAGATGAGATGGACCACCAAGGCAGAGCAGGCTGAACCCAAAGCTAAACCCAGACATATATAAAATGACATCAGCACCCCAGTAGCCTCAGCCAGCTCCTTGGACATGATCTTAGGGCCATACATTAGTGCCAAGGTGCTGAGGTAGCCATTGCTAAATCCCAAGAGTGAGATGAAGATAGATGGGTATATATCAGAATTAAAGAATACCTTCTCCAGGTGGTGCCGGGGCTGATAATTGCAGAAGATGAAAAGAGGAATAAAAAATGTCCTTAGGAGAACTAGTGCAGGGAGGAGTTTGCTTTTGGGCCTTGGGACCTGAATCCAGGCAGGGATCTGTCGGCCACACAAGTCAGCAACATTGTACAGGAGGAAGCTGGTGAGAGGGACAAAAAACTTATTGGTCCACAGAGATCCAGAACTCTTGTTGACTGACTCAATATTGGAAGAAATGGCAGGGAAAATGATGATGGAGATGAAGAAGACATAGACAACACAGAAGCCTAGCATAGCTGTCTTCTTCAGGATGAAGGGGAGAGGTGGCATGCTGGGGTCTGTTGTCCTGCTGGTCTGTGGTGGAGGTTTAGGGAAGCTTGAAGTCTGCTCCTCATCACTGAAGGAACCACCTGAAAATACGTGGCATGGTTGAACTGATTTCATGTAATACCTGAAGGGAAAATAATAATAATAATTGACTTTAGCAAAACTTGGTCAACTTCAATCAGAATGACCTTCAAGGTAGGCTTGAAGTATGGAGTGGGGAGGGAGAATTCTCAGATTACTCTGCGGTGCTAGAATTTTGTGGTAATTGAATACTGTTTGTGATATGTGGGACATTAATGACAGCTTGAAAATGTGGATATAGAAAAATTTATATTTACTTAAAAGCTGAAAAAATAGCTCACATTTATATTTTTATTTATAAATATTTCAATTTTATATTATATTACCTTAAGTACAGCAAAGCACTTTACATATGTTACATCATCTAAGCCTCCCTCAATACTATAAGCCAGGTAGTACATGTATTATCATCCCCATTTGAGGATTTTTCTTGTTTCCATGAGGAAACAGAGGCTCAAAGATATTGACTTGCCCATGGTCACAAAATCAGTGTCAGGAGGCAGGATTCGAGCCCAAGTGTTCTAGCACTCTGGCCACTACAAAAGAGAAAAATACAATCAGAGAACAACAAGACAGGACCCCTGAGGCTGGGCAGGGTAGGAGAGCTGGGATGACAAATAAAAGCATTAGAAAACTCAATAGAGCCTTGCATTGGCACCGCCTTGAACTCACACTAGGTAAAGTCACAATAATCCTCTCTAGAAGTCACCCAGACCTGGGGATTCTATTGGATTAGGACATGGTGGACAGGGTAAGGCACTTGCTGCTGAGTCTGAAAATCTTTGCACTCAGCCTCTTCAACATTTTACTGATAAGCTATCTGAATTACTAAAAACCACAGACTAAAATCTTTAAAAATAAAAATTCAATAGTTACATCAGTTCATTTAAACACCCCCAACTAGCATAAGGGCTAGTGAAAAAGAGTCCTGGACAAAGGTCAGCAGGAAGTGGGTTGTTTCAGTCCTTAATAGGCCTTATATCCTGCCCTTAAATTGATTAGACACAATTCAATTCAACAAACATTCATCAGTTACCTATACTGTGCGAGACCCTGAGAGTATAAAGACAAAAACAAAAGAAGTGCCTGCCTGCCTGCCCTCAAGGAGCTTACATTCCCCTGGGAGAGTACAACATGTGTGCAGACAAGTGAATATAAATCATGGACAAAGTTATTCTGAATCATTCCAGAAGGGGGAGAAGAAAAAGAAGATGAAGACAAGACTCTTGAATAAGTCATTTAACCCCTGTGGGCCTCAGGTTTCTGGAAAACCAGCAGGAGACTATCTGGGTTGCACTTTCCTTGCAGAGAAATGATAAGGATGTATGAGATAATGTATATGAAGTCGGGTCAGGCTGGGGAGAAAATCCCCCTGCATTAAAATTACCCACAACTGAATAGGTCGCTTCATTTGGTCTTGAATTCTGTTTGATTTCATAAGCAGTGCCTAGAGAAAGGAACCATCTTACTTCCCGTCTGCCCCCATTAGCTCCCTTTTCTCTAAACAGCTTGAAGATTACTCTGTGCCAAGTTTCTCTGACTGAAGATTCCCTGCCTTGCAAGCCCTACCAAACCGCCATCTTCCCGCACTTATCCCCAGGTTCCAGCCCACAGTATTTTTTCACCCTTGTTTTCTTAATTTGGATTTTTATATTTTTTTGTAGATAATCATCCATTTCTCTCGCCTTTTTGGTTTGGTTGGCACACCACTCTATTTGAGAAGCACCTCGGCTTGGTGGATAGAGGGCTGCTAACCTTTGAGCCAGGAGGACCCAAATTGGAATCCTGCCTCTGACACATATAGGTTGTGTGCTCATGGGCGAGTCACCATAAATGCCCCTGGGCAACTCTCTAAGACAATAGAGGAGTTGCCAATCTGGGCCAGTGGAAGGAATTTTCATACTGGGCATCACCACAGGTCTGAACTCAGCTGGATTGGGTAGAGCAAGCTTTGTTTTGTTCCTCTGATCCATTTCTTCTCTTTTGGTTATGAATGTGTATGACCCCAAATTTAGAGATGGAAGAGTCCATGTAGTCAAATCAACAAGCATTTACTAAGCATCTACTATGTGCCAGGTACTGTGTTAAAACAGTCCCCCCTCTTAAAAAGCTCACAGGCTAATGGGGGAGATGACATCTCCCTGTTTGCCCCTAATACTATCGATCCCCTCACTTTTCAGAAAATAATCTCTAGCCCAAGGTTACACAAGGAGTAAATAGTAGAGTTGGGATTCAAACCCAGACCCTTGGACTCCAAGTCCAGTTCTCTTTCCATTGCACCAGTTCACCTTTGTCCCTTTCAGCAGTCTTCATTTTAACAGGAATATCCTCCCAATGCTACCTAACCCCTCTATCTTTCACAGGTTAGTCAGATAAGTCAAACTCATTGACATTGAATGGCTATACTTTTTAATCTTAATTAAAATGCATTTTCTTCATTTGGTTCAGAAAAAACTACCTGGGTCTCTCTATGCTAATAGTTCCCCATAGTTTCAGGATTGTTTCATTCAAACCCAGAAGTTTTGACCACTCAGCCAACAAAGCTAATAAATGCTGTCCCAACCTGACATTCATGTGTGTGTCCCTTAATTCATGGTTAGTTCAAAACTAGTTTTGAATTGTTTTGCAGTGTTTTCCAGAGGAGATGGTGTTTGATTCTAGGGGTCTTCTGGACTCTTCTTGGCTCCACCAACCCCTCTTATTCCCTCTTGTGTCAGCATTATTCAGAATCACTTGGCAATGGAAATATAGAATTTGACCTTTATGTACCTCAGAGGGGCTTGCCACCTGAAGTGGTTGGTTCATGTTTTCCAGACAATTCTAAACACTTCAGGACCCACTTTCATACAGCCTTTGCCATTCTTCCTTCCAGAAGCCTTAATCAGCTGATGTTAGCTAAGCCTATGATGAATCCTTGTTAATTGGTGAAGCAACTCAACCACCCAACTAGAATCAGTATTCTGACCCAAAAAAAAAAAAGAATGTGAGAGCATCTCCTTTCCTTTCTTGGTCATAGAATCCTATAATGGACCCCCTTTAGGTACTGGAGATGATACCTGAAAGATCAGAATAGTACAGCAATACTGTTTCTTTAAGAAAGAGGACCTTTCGGAGCCAAGATGGTGGAAGGAAAGCAGTGACTTGCTTGAGTTCTCTCTCAAACCCCTCCAAATACCTATAAAAAATGGCTCTAAACAAATTCTAAAGTAGCAGAACCCACAAAAAAACAGAGTAAAACAAATTTCCATCCCAAGACAACCTGGATGGCTGATCAGAAAGGTATATCGCATCAGGCGGGGAGAAGAGCGCAGTTCGGTGTGGGCGCGCAGGCCGCAGCAACCCTGGAGCAGGCCTCAGAGGACTGAATCGCAGTCAGCTGTGGCAGTTTCCAGACTTCTCAACCCACAAATGCCAAAGACAACTTACAAAGTCAATGGGAAAAGTCTGTGACTGCGGTGAGAGAAGAAGATAGGTCTCAGTTGCCCCGAGGGCAGTGGTTGCCTCCTGAGCTTCCAGCCCACAGACTGAGGGGGAATTGAGTGGCTGATCAGAGGGGGATTGCAAGGATCTCTTTGCCAGTGCTGAGGCAGGAATCTCTTGCTTTGCCTGTGCTTGGATCTGGGTCACAGTTCTGAGGGGCGGTCCTGGGGTGAGAAGGAGTGCTGCCATGGTGGAGCTTGTTGTGGCAGTGGAGAGGAAACACCTCGCCCCTTATCATAGCACCTTGGAAGAACTGAAAATTTTCAGGTCCCTAGAAGTATCTCTGAAAACAGCTGTACAAACCCCTGAAGCTTGGGACAGTACACTCTCCACACTGGAAACAGACTCTTACCTTAACAAAGAGTTTAAAACTCAAGTAATTGGTTGGGATCATGAGCAAGCAGCGCAAAAAGAGTCAGACTATATTATCTTACTTTGGTGACAAAGAAGATCAAAACATACAACCAGAAGAAAATAAAGTCAAAGCTCCTACATCCAAAACTTCCAAGAAAAATATGAATCAGTCCCAGGCCTTGGAAGAGCTCAAAAGGGATTTTGAGAAGCAAGTAAGAGAAGTAGAGGAAAAACTGGGAAGAGAAATGAGAGCGATGCAAGAAAATCATGAAAAGCAAGTTAACAGCTTGCTGAAGGAGACCCAAAAAAATACTGACGAAAATAACACCTTAAAAAATAGCCTAACCCAAATGGCAAAAGAGGTCCAAAAAGCCAATGAAGAGAACAATGCCCTAAAGAGCAAAATTGGCCAAATGGAAAAGGAAGTCCAAAAGATTACTGAAGAAAATACTTCCTTAAAAATTAGAATAGAACAATTGGAAGCTAGTGACTTTATGAGAAATCAAGACACTGTAAAACAAATCCAAAAGAATGAAAAATTAGAAAACAACGTGAAATATCTCATTGGAAAAACAACTGACCTGGAAAATAGATCCAGGAGAGAGAATTTAAAAATTATTGGACTATCTGAAAGCCATGATCAAAAAAAGAGCCTAGACATCATCTTTCAAGAAATTATCAAGGAAAACTGCCCTGATATTTTAGAACCAGAGGGCAAAATAGAAATCGAAAGAAAATAACACCTTAAAAAATAGCCTAACCCAAATGGCACAAGAGGTCCAAAAAGCCAATAAGGAGAAGAACACCTTAAAAAGCAGAATTGGCCAAATGGAAAAGGAAGTTCAAAAGCTCACTGAAGAAAATAATTCCTTAAAAATTAGAAATGGAGCAAATGAAAGCTAATGAGACAGAGAGAGAGAGAGAGAGAGAGAGAGAGAGAGAGAGAGAGAGAGAGAGGGCACAGGGTGAATTGAAGATGAAGGGGTCATATCTGGAGAATAAAATTAAGAGGTGAGAGAGGATTAGACTAGGAGAAGGAGAAAGGGAAAGGTAGAACGGGGTAAATTATCTCACAAAAAAAAACCCAGAAAAGAAAAGGCTCTTACAGTGGAGGGGAAACGGGGGAAGGTGAGAGAGAATGAGTGAATCTTATTCTCATAGGATTTGACTTAAGGAGGGAATAACATACACACTCAATTGGGTATGGAAATCTGTCTTACCCTATAGGAAAATAGGAGGGGAAGGGGACAAGAGAGTAGGGGGATGATAGAGAGGAGGGAAGATTGGGAAAGGGGGTAATCAGAAGCAAATACTTCTGAGGAGAGACAGGGTCAAAAGAAAGAATAGAATAAATGGGGGGGTGGGATAGGATTAAGGGAAATAGAGTTAGTTTTTCACAGCATGTCTACTATGGAAGTGTTTTGCATAACTGCACATGTATAGCCTCTATTGAGTTGCTTGCCTTTCCAATGAGGGTGGGTGGGAAGGGAGGAAGGGAGAAAATTTGGAACCCGAAGTTTTAAAAACACATGTTTAAAAAAAATGTTTTCACATGCAACTGGGAAATAAGAAATACAGGAAATGGGGTACAGAAATCTATCCTGCCCTACAGGAAAATAGAAGGGGAAGCGGGGAAGAGATAGCAGGGAAAGCAGACTAGGGGAAGGGGTATTCAAAATGCATGCCATTTTGGGGTGGGGGAGGGGTGAGATGGGGTGAAAATTTGGAACTCAAAATCTTGTGGAAGTAAATGTTGAAAACTAAAAATAAATAAATTTATTAATTAAAAAAAAAAGAAAGAGGACCTTTTCATCCTTTCTTCCACTAGAACCCAAAATAGGTAGATTGGTTCATGTGTTCACTCATTTATACCTTCTGAGAGGTGAAATGGCAAAAAGGCTGGGGTTGGTTTTAGAGTCAGGAAGTCCAAGGTTCAAATCCTGCCCTGACACATACTAGCTTAGAGACCATTGTCAAACCCTTGACTTGCCAATCTTCTGTAGAGAGAGAGTTGCTTTCACTTACTAAACCATAGATCCAACACCACCACCCCCCAAGAAGGAAAAACAATTAACTTAACAAATATGCATTGATCACCTAGCAAGTGCCATACCCTAGGGTCAGCAAGCTCTCTAGCATCTGAGCCCTGCTACTTCAGCTAAATAATGCTCCCGGGGGTCACCTGGCAGGTCAAAGTTGGCATAGGGCACCCTAAGACCTGGGTTCTCTAGTTCCAGCTCTGCCACTGACCAGTTGGGTGATCTTGAGTAACAGCCTGGCTCCTGCTTCAATAGCTTCATGTGAAAAATTAGAATAATAATTTCTGCCTTTTCTTCTTTCCAGGGATCACCACGGGTTCAATTGAAATAACAAATGTGAAAGCACTTCGAAAAGCGCAAAGGACCAAATTATTTAAAACAAAAAAGGAAATGGCAGAACATAAAAGGAAGTAGGGGGAGAAATGGGGAGAAAGAAGGGAGGTTGGGGGTGGAGTGGCGGAAGAGATACATTTGGTGGAAAAAGGAAGACCAATGTTGGAGACTCCCCTACCTCTGTTCTCAACTTGTAAGCTCTAGTTGATGACAAGATTCAGCTAAGAAGCCCACTTCCACCATTTGTTGGGCATCCCATCTCTCACTTCCATCACCTTCAGCTCACCCTTATCTCCTTGCTGCATGAAACACAATAATCCACCTACACTCAGGAGAACATGGAAGATATCAGGGTAGCAGATCGCCCTTACCTGGCATACTCAAGCTTGGGAAGGATCAGATACAACCCAATGCAGATCACGATGAAGATGTCTGCTGTCAGAAAGAAAGCCAGGGCACAGCTAGTCACATCTTCGGATGCTGCCAGATCCACCAATGAGGCCACTGCACTGATGGTCCCACCCATGGCCCCACCTATCGCAAATAACCAGACAATAGAAAGAGAAGCAGATAATGGAGCAGTGAATAAAGAGGCAAGTATATGCAAAAAATATGTGTGTGTGTGTGTGTGTGTGTGTGTGTGTGTGTGTATTTTATGTTGTCTACCCATTCTATTTTTTCCCTCCCTTTGGCCTTGACACTCTATAGACTCAATTTAATTCAAAAAGGCACTCTGCTAGTCCTGGAGATACAAACGCCAAAATGAAGCAATGCCTGCCTTCAGGGAGCTTACAACCAATGACTTCTTTTTCAGCCCTCAGAACTACTTCCACGGCAAATGGGCTCAAAGAATTCCTTAGTAAAACAAAACATACCTTATTGACTCCCATGAGAAACCTACCCAACCTCAGCTCTTCACTCACACTCACTGTACATCCCTAGTCTTTATCTTTTCTATCTTTCCAGGATCTCCCCTAGCTGTGCCCTCCTCTCTACTCACACAGCCATCACCTTCACCTGAGTCACCGCCTGCCTGGATGATGGCAGTAGCCTCCTACATGGTCTTTCTGTATCAAGCGATGCCCTGCTCTAATCCATTTCCCACACAGCTGCCAAAGTGATTTTCCTGACCCTGTCACTCTCATAGTTAATCAACTCCAGTGACTCCCTATTAACTCCAGGCTCAAGCTGTTTGGCATCTAAACCCTTCACAAACTGGCCCCAAATTATTTTTTCAGACACATTGCACATTACTCCCCTTTATGCACACTATGGTTCAATCTAACTGGTTTTCTCACAGCTCCTCACACACAGCACTCCATCTCCTGTCTTTGTCCCTTTACTGAAGCTACACCTTCCCCCTCACCCCACCCCACCAGCCCCAGTGCCTGGAACACATCTCATCTTGCCTCTACCTCCTCAAATCCCTACTTATCTTCACGGCTCAGCTTAACCACCATTTTCCATGTGAAGCTTTTCCTGATTTCTCTAGTTGCTAATACCTTCCTCCCCTCCTCCCAGATTATCTTATATCTATTTCGTGTGCATTTTGTATATAATTATAGATTTACATGTTGTCTTTCCTAACTAGGTTGTAAAGTTCTCAAGGGCAGGGACCGTCTCTCTTGCTCTCCTCATTGCCTGGCACAGGGTATGTACTTAATAAAGGCTTGATTGACTGAGAAGCCTGGAAGGATCCTGACTCTGGCCACACTGTCATATCAGTGCCAGGTCTGGGTAGCGGATGCAAGGGGAAACCAGTTACAATTAAAAAAAAGACTGAAACTGGGGGATCAGACTGAGTTAGACAATCAATCAACCACCCCCTCTCCAGCCCCCAGCACTCTCTGCTTTTTTGCTCTCGACTTCCTTGGCAACGGATTTTCCTGCTCTGCTCAGCTCCCTATTTCTCAGACACCATGGGACACCCCCCCCCACCTGGCTTTTGGCTTATGCTTGAACTCTCTTAACTTGGACTGCATCTCCTCTTCTGACCTTCCCCTATGCCTGAAATATTGTCTGATCAGTGACACCTGTCATCTTGGTCCCAGGTAGGACATGAGCATGATGCCATCCCCACTCTCTGCCTACTCTATGGTTCAGAGCTATATTGGAAGCAGTGAGAATATGGTCACCAAAGGAGATCACCTCACTGGTCTCCGGTGAATACCTATGGATCTGGGTGATTTGGAGATGAAAGGGTTAAACATTCCCTACCCCTTCCTCAGGTAATTGCCAATTCTCCTCTCCTTCCCCCCTTCAATAGCAATAATGTCATGAAAGCTTTGCCAGTAGGGCAGAGGGCTGCTTCTAAGGAACCGTGATTACTCCCTGGGCTTCTTGTAGTATTTGGGGTTAAACTCATTAAGAAATTCCCCGTCTGCCCTGAGGAAGAATATCTAAAAATCACTGTCTACTGATTCCTCTCGATCAAGCGCGCTCTCTCCCCCTTGTAGAGAATTTACAATATTATCATCAACAACAAGGCAAGCCTTCAGGGAGCTCATCCTTCATGACTCCATACTTTTATCTCATCAGTTATGGAAATGCATGCAAATGAGGGTTTTTAAAAAAATCCAGCATAAAGCAAATGAATTGTTTCCTGAGATATGAACACTTACAGAATTCCAGGATAGTTTCTCCCCTCAATTAAAAGACAACAACAACCAGAGATCATGTTGGAGCCATGATATTCCAAATGGAGAGTGCCCCCCAAACCTTGAAGGGGTGATGAAGCACCTTCATCTCTCTCTCACTCTCTGCAGGGAGCCTAGCAGATGTTTGTGAAGAGTTCACACCCAGGCTAACACTACAGGTTAAGTACCACATCCATTAACCTCTTCCATGCTTTCTATCACCTTTCCCTCCCTTCCTCAGAATACACCTGCCATGACGTGAGAGGTGAAAGCAAATGGTGGACTGACCAATGTGAGTGACTGGAAGACCACTCACTTGTAACCAGTTGCAAATGGAAGGGCTGATGTCATTTTTTGTCATAGTCTGGTAGATGGTAAGAGCACCAGGGGAAGAAAGAACCAGCCTCTAAGCTTGGGCAGAAGGAGACAGAGACCGAAAGTACCCCACGCTTGGCGGACTTTTCTTTAAGCATGGAGAGGTTTTCCTTTTCATATTGCTGATCTTCCCTCTGAGATTAGCTCCCATTTATACTTTCTTGTTATTGTTGTTGGTTAGTTGATTATAGCATTGTTATAATTGCCTCCTCTATGATCTGTATACGCCAAGGTGATCATAATATATCCCTCCAACTAGAGTTGAGCTCTCTAAGGGAGGGACTGACTCTGACTCTCCATGACCCCATTTGGGGTTTCCTTGGTAAAGATACTGGAGGGGTTTGCCATTTTCTTCCCCAGCTCATTTTACAGATGAGGAAACTGAGGCAAAAAGGATTAAGTGACTTGCCCAGGGGCACACAGCTAGGAAGCATCTGAGGCCAGATTTGAACTCAGGTCCTCCTGACTCCAGGGCTGGCACTTTATTCACTGCACAATTAGTTGCCCTATCTATACTCTATGTATCTTATATGTTGTTTGCATGTTGTCTCTCCTGCGAGAACGTGAATTCCTTTAGCACAGGGACCATACTCTTGTCTTTGTTTCCCTGCTGTCGGCCCTTAACACAGTGCCTGGAACAGAGCAAGTTCTTAATAAGACTGGTCTAGAAATCAGTCATCAGTCACAGATCTAGAACTAGAACTAGAACCAGGAGGTCATCTAGTCTACCTCCCTCATTTTACAGATGAGGAAACTGAGGCAGAAAGAGGTTAAATGAGTTGGCTTAAATGGGCATCTAGGTAGCACACCGTCCTTGGAGTCAGCAAGACCTGAGTTCAAATCCAGCCTCAGACACTTATTAGCTGTGTGACCCTGGGCAAGTCACTTAAATGTTGTCTGCCTCAGTTTCCTTATCTGTGAAATGCAGATAATAATAGCGCCTACCTCCCAGGGCTGCTGTGAAGATTGAATGAGATAATAATTGTAAGGTGTTTAGCACAGTGCCCAACATATAGTCATACAGACAGCACTATTATAAATTTGTTATTGTTGCCTTTCCAGGATGATTTCACATTGCTATTCCAGACCACCCTTCCAGGCCCCCTGTTCTACAGCCAAACGGTCCTCTTTGATTCTCTCCCTCTGTAACCAGCCATTTTCCACTTCGGCCGAGGCCATTCATTCCAAGAGGGGTCTCCCTCTTTCTGTCTTCTGAAATATCTAGTTCCTTTCAAGGTCTGGCTGATTGCCCCACGAGGCCTTTCCTGATCCCCCCAGTAAGTGTCAGACCTCTCCTTGATCCCTGCCAAAATCACTCTTTAGGCACGTTTTATGCCTGGACATGTTTCCTCCTAAGCTAGGGCCCAGGGACCCCCAAGAGAATCTGTGGAGAGATTCCAAGGGATCTGTGAACTTGCTCCACCCCCCCATATTTTCTTGTTTTTTTCCTTTCCTTTTTTTTTTTTAAAGCCATTGGGGTTAAGTGACTTGCCCAGGGTCACACAGCTAGTAAGTGTCAAGTGTTTGAACTCAGGTCCTCCTGACTTCAGGGCTGGTGCTCTATCCACTGTGCCACCTAGTTGCCCCACCTAGCTGCTCCCCCTCATATTTTCATAACTGTGTTTCAATTTAATTGGTTTCCTTTGTAATCCTACATATTTTATTCAATGCATTTAAAAACATTATTCTAAAAGGGGTCCCTAGGCTTCACCAGTCAGTCAGTCAATAAGCATTTATTTGTGTTAATCAATGGGCATACAAAAAAAGGCAAAAGATGCTTCTGTCCTCAAGGAGCTTATAGTCTAATGCCAAAGGGGCCCAGGACACAAAAAAGCTTAAGTAAAAGGTAATCTCCTTTTAGGGAGGGGCTACCTTTTTTTCAGGTGTTATCTCCAGTGCCCAGTAAAGTGCCGGCCACCTAATATGCACTTAATAAATGCTTTGGATTGAACCGAACATCCCCCCCAAAATCCTTATCATTTTTCACATACAGGGCAGTGAGCAGGCACATAAATCCTTTCTAAATGAACAAAGTAGTCCCCTACACCAGTGGTACCCAACTCATGGAAACAGGAGCCACTAAACCATATACAAAGATGCCCAGGGGCCACACTTTGACTTAGAAAACCACATATTAATATTATCTATGATTTACTTCTTTTGTTCAATATTTCCCAATTACATTTTAATTTAATTTGGGTCATAATTAGGAGTGCTCTGGGTTTATGGGCCACACCCCACCTGGGCCTACACTGTGAGAAAGCAAGTAAACTCCAAATTAGGTCAGAAGAATCTAGCGATCCCAGGCCCTGCCCACTCACAGTGTTACTCACTGGATCCATTTCTAAGTGCTATACTAGTGGGAGGTGGGAGGTGGGGGTGGGGGACTTGTTTACTACTGGTTCAGTAATAACATGTCAAAGCTAATCAATTCGTAGTTCAGATTCTAGCCCCATTGAGACTGCCTCCCTCCCTGGAAGAAGTTAGCCAGCCTGGGTTCCAGCCCACCTGGACGGCAGCACTCACCTGACATCAGAGCCTGAGAATTCCTCATGGGGAAGGAGGCGGCAAGGCCAAAGATACTGCTGTTGAAGATGGTGGCAGTGCCACTGAGGACCACCATGCAGATGATGGTGATGACAAAAAAGGAAAAGGGCCATGAAGAAGTGTCCACTTTCACCAACACCGTTATCACCACGAACACCACCAGCAGAATGGCCAAGGAGGTCAAGACGCGAACGTGGACCGACACCCTGCCAATGAGATTTGGTTAATCTGTTTGGCTAAATTTCTGGTGTGGAGGTCCCAGGGGGAATCGTAAATGTTCCACTTGGAGACCCAGCGGTGAAGAAATAAATAGCCCCAGCCAGATGGAGGAGCTCTCTGATGGCTTTGTCCACACCAGCCAGAATTACTGGGGGATGGGGGGGGTAGAGGTGGAGAGGAGGGAGAGAAGGGACAAGGGAAAGAGGAAAGGGGCAAAGTTGCCAAAGAAAATGGAGCCAGAAGAGAAGAAAAAGAAAGTGTCTGGCCTTAATTTTAGGAATAAAAGCTAGAAAGAAAAAAAAACAGTTTATAGAACTGATATGCTGGATAAAACAAAAAATTAATAATTGCACAGAATCTTTCTCAAAGTGCTTTCCTATCTATTATTTAAGAACACACATTTACAACTGGAAGGGATCTTAAGAGAGCAATCCTGTTGAACCCTCTCTTTTTACAGATGTACCTCACAGGGTTCTCATAAGGCTCAAAATGCAATAATATTTATAAAGGGCATAGCACAGGGCTTGGTACACTGTAGGTGCCTAATAAATGCTTCTATATGTGTATACACAAATATATTTTGAAATAAACAAAGCAGGTTTCATCAGCCCCATTTAACATTATGCGGGATGTCGGGCAAGGGATTTGAGTTTTCTGGGCCTTAATTTCCTTATCTGTAAATGAATGAGGAGAATTAGATGGTGTCTGTGATACCTTTTGGCTTTAAAATCTAGATAGAGAAAATGAAGTAGAGAGGTTAAATGGCTGGCCAAGGTCACCCATTGAGTCAAAGCAAGACTGAGATCAATAACTGACCAGTCAATAAGTGTTTATTAAGCACCCACTATGTGCCAGCCACTGTGCTGACACCAACGATCAATCAAGTAATAAATGCTTATTAAGCACCTACTATGTGCCAGCCAGTGCTGACATCGATAATCAGGCAATAAATGCTTATTAGGCACCTACTATGTGCCAGTCGCTATGCTGACATCAATGATCGATCAAGTAATAAATGCTTATTAAGCACCTACTATGTGCCAGCCACTCTGCTAGGCACTGAATGATAACCCAGGTCTTCAGAGGCCCAGCTCAGTGATCACTCCATTAGTCAGAGTTCTGGGCTCAGAGACCCTGATTTCACTCTACAGCCCCACCTCTCGGTGGTTTCCACTGCTCCCAGAATCCTGACCATTGTGGCTGTGGAAACGCCAAATGGGCCTGAGAGCCAGAGGGCAGGACCAGCAGCAACTGTTGCCACCTCTCCAGGATGCCCCGAGGAGCTTGGCGCTGGCTGGTGGCCTCAGAGGCAGCTAATTGGACAGCTCCAGGGGGAGCTGAAGGCATTTGCTGTAAGCATGCCACTGGGGCTGGGGAGCAGCTTTCACCTTTGCTCCACTGAGGGACAGCCTACGTCCCAGCCCATCCCACAGAGATCTCTGTCACAGGAGCGCTCACCTGGCAGCGGCAGGAGCAGGAGGCGCGCCCTGACAGCTCGCCTAGGTAACAGCCGGCTCCTAAGGTAACGAAGGGCCGACGGGGAGAGGAAGCAGTGAGTCTAAAGGAAGCCAGTTGGAGAGAGAGAGGCAAGGCCAGGCCCCATGTGGCCGCAACGCATTCCTCTAGGTGAGTAAAGCCTGAAGAAAGGGATGACTGGAGTGAAGAGAGCGCAGGGCAACCTGGCCAAACACTTCCAAGGTGGGTACAGGGGAAAGCAGGTCTCTGGAGTCAGAGGTTCAAATCTTGACTCTGACACTTACGTGTGTGACCTTGGGCAAGTCTCCACCTTTGTTCCTCAGTTTCCTCAACTGTAAAATGTACGGGGGTTGGACTAGAGGGTCTTTGAGGCTTCCTTTAGCTCTAAACCTAGGATCCTATCTACCAGCTGAATGTGTTTATATGGACATGAAACCTTCTTCGGCCTCAGTTTCCCCAGCTATAAAATGAGGGGGACTAAATCATAGGTTCTTAATATGGCAATAATTTCGGGGGGGGGCTCTGCAAACTTAGACAGGAATAAAATTTTCATGATTATTGTTATCAAAATGTTCATTTCATTGTTTTCATTAATCTCTAACTGAAACTTAGCATTTCCTTCCATTATGAATTAATTTTTAAAAAAACATTGAGTCTCTAGGTTTCTCTGGATTGCCAAACAACACAAAAAAAGGTGATGATCTCTTGGAGTGGGTGGTCTCTAAGGTCTCTATCAGTTTTTAGGCAGCATGTAGTAGGTAGAGATAGCCTGGGAAATGAAGAAGCTCTGAGTTTGAATCCTGTACCTGACACATTCTAGCTATGCAATCCTTAACCCTCTTTAAGACAACTGCAGAACAGTTGCTGCTGGTGAGGGTACTTTCCTCCCAAGGAGGGAGTGGAGAAAACAACAAAAATGAAACCCAGTCTAACACTCTCATTTCCTATTTGCCCTCTCTGCAGCTCATCTGTACATAGTTGCTTGCACATCATCTACTGTGAGCCCCTCACACAGGGACTGACTTTTGGAGCGTGTGGCACATAGTAGGCGCTTAATAAATGATTACAAACTGACTTATGGGGTCCCCTCCACCAGCCAGGCTGTGACTTTCCCGCCAGGATGGGAAGATGTCCTTCCTAAATGCAAGAACAACAACCATCTAGATAAAGTGAGCTAGAATACTGTTGAAGCCATCTCGTGAGGTTACTTATAGATAGCAGGACTTCTTATCAAGGTAACTGAGGCCAGGGAAGAAAGGAATCTGAGGAGGAAACCTAAGTGGATTTTCAAAGGGAGTGGATTTGAAAGGTTCCTCTGGCCCCCGAGTGAAGGTCCCTCAGTTAACTGGCTTTCTCCAGTCCAAGAAGCCCCAGTTTCCCCGAGCACATTCTGTCTCCTAATAACCTGCTGAATAAACTGACCCCACAGACCAGAACCTCCAGACGTGAGCCTGCAGCCCTCAGTAATTATGCCCTGGGCTATTTTTAATGATCATAAAAATTTATGAAATGGTACCATGTGCAAAGAGGCCCACCCAAGCGCACCTAATGTTCAGTGCAGGGCTCAGTTACCTCATCCTGCCGCCCGGAATGAAGAAAGTAACCAAGTCCCAGCCTGCTTGGGTTTAGGAGGGAGGTCGGGGCACCCCTTCAAGAGTTATGAAAAGACTAGACTGCTCAGTATCCCCACTTTAGAGCTAGAAGGAACCTCATAGCCTAACCCCCTTATTCTACATAGAGGGAAACCGAGACCAAGAGAGGTGAAATAACTCAGCTAGCCCATGGGAATTCTAATCCAGTCATGGGATTATGATTTAGAGCAGTGAGCATAGATTTCTTCACTTGACAGAGGAGGAAACTGAGGCCTAGGGAAGTTAGTAGCTTGCCCAAGATTGTACAAGTAGCAAGGAACAGAGGTTAAGTTCTGACAATGACTTTTTCTGTGCGGTGCTTTGTATGGGTCAATCGGGGGAGGTGGAAAAGCCCAGGGAGTCTCAGACGGGTCTGGGCTACACATTCATGCTAAATTGGCAGACCTGTCCTGACTCTCCTGACAAAGAGCCAGTCCTCCTGATGGGAATGGGCTGCAGACTGCGTGCTAGCCGCCAGTCTCCCCCAGCCTCCCCATACCCCTTCTCATGAGGGATCTGAACCCCAGGGGACTGATTTCCTCACAAATCTCCAAAATGTAAATCCTGCTCATAAGTATTTATGATGCTGCAAATTTAACATAATAAAACACTTGGCGATTATAGATGAGCCAGGCAGAAAGAGCCGGGTCCTCCACAAGGGGGAAAGAGGCGACATTTCAATCTCGCGTATTAAATAAAAAAACCACTTTAGCCAAAAACTGTTTCCCCCCCAGCCTGGAAACAGATGGAAGACTGGAATAGTTTCCTAAGTTGGCTCTTCCCTCCCTCTGCAAAGGGCAGGTCCTAGTGTGGGCTTATCATTACACCGCTGTATCATCCCCTAGATATGAAAAACCACATAGGACTGAGAAATCCAACATCCCCCACCCCCTTCACACCTCAGTCCCAGCGAAGGCAGCTAACCTGCCATCCTCCCCCACTGGGAGCCAGCGCAGACCCTCTTCCTTTAAAAAAAAAATGTAGTGATATCTTTTGTTTTTACATTATCTGTATCACTCCTTGTATTCCTCCTCCTCTTCCTTCTTCAAAAGGCGCACTCTTTGCAACAAAGAAATTTTTTTTAAAAGAGAAAACATCAGCAAAAACAATCAATACATTGGAAAAATCCTTAGAATATATGCAATGTCCACACCTGTGGTATTTCCAGCTCTGAAAAGAAGGAAGCTCTACCCGCTTCCTTCCTTCCTCCAGAAGCCTGGGTTTGGTGGCTTGACCAGGGAGAATGGAAGGGCACGTGGAGTGACGCTGGGGGAGGGGGAGGGGAGAAGGGGAAGGGAGAAGGCAGGTCCATGTGAGTTGAACAGGGGCATCGAGGAGAACCAGGAAGGAGCCTCGGGACTGCCAGACATCCACTGGGTATTCAAGGCAGTGCACTGGGAGCCGTGGCCCAGAGCATGGAAATAGAACCAGTAGCGTGGGTTGTGGCAGCAGAGAATTCTTTGTGTGTGTCAGTGTGTGAGATTAGAGAGTAGGGTCAGAGTATGTATGTGGAAACTTGAGTTCCAGCCACGCATTTGGGACTTGGGGTGAGATTAAAAAGAGGGAGGAGGGAAAAGGGACAAGAAAAGGGCTGTGTTATCTGCCTGTAGGTCTGACCATGTGACATCCTCTGCTCCCAGCGGGGTGAACTAGGTGCACTTTCAGATACCTCCCAGCCATGAATCAATGGTACTACAGAATGATACATTACTAGCTGTGTGACCCTGGGCAAGTCATTTAACCCTGTTTGCCTCAGTTTCCTCACGTGTAAAGTGAGCTGGAGAAGGAAATGGCAAACCAGTCCAGTATCTTTGCCAAGAAAACCCCAAATGGGGTCACAAAGAGTCAAACACAACTGAAATGTCTCAATGGCAACAACAAGAAGATTGTTAGGGTCAAATAGAAATATTGTGTGTATATGTATGTATATATTATATATATCAATCTATATCAATTTACATCTATATATCAGTATCTATATTGATATATCAATACTTATCTATAAACTATATCTATCTATATCTATATCTATCAATATCTATCTCTATATATCAATATCTATCTATATCCATATCTATCTACAGAATTGCTGGATCATGGGGGTGCACTGAGCTTACAGCTCCCTGTTTGCCACAGGACTGCCCCACCTGGGCATAGGGCACTCATTACCCCTTTACCCATCCTCTCTCCCTCCCCTCCAAGTGATTATACCCTGTCCTATTTTTTAAGGGAAGCCGATTTTAGCTTTTCTGGAGCAGTGCCATCTAGTGTTCAGGACATGGCCCTGCACATTTGCATCCTAGCCAGCTAAGATGGCGTGGCCTGGATCTGTGGGGCCCTTGATGGAGGACAGAAGGCCCAGTGCTAGTCAACCACCAGAGTTTTAAAGCTGGTGCAACATTATTAATGAGAACAACAACAAGACTAGCACTTATCTAGTGTTTTAAGGCTTGCTAAGCACTATATAAATATTATCTCAGTCTGTCCTCACAGTCACCCTGGGAGGCTGATGCTATTATTATTCCTATTTTACAGGTGAGGAAACTGAGGCTGGGAGAGGTTGGTCTCTTGCCCAGGGCCATGCAGCTAGTAAGCGTCTGAGGCAGAATGCTACAGCTCTGATTCTAAGCATAAGGCCAGGTACAAGACTCTTACTGGGCAGCAGGAATGAGTTTCGGTAGTGAAAGGCCATCTCTGACTGGGAGGATATGGTAATAAAAGGAAGATAAAAATAGATTTAGAGCTGGAAGAGGTCATCTAGTTCATCCCTTTCATTTAACAGATGAAGAAACTGAGGCCTAGATCTGGTAAGTGACTCACATAAAGTCACCTAGATAGTAAGGAGCAATGCCACAATTTGAACTCGGGCCCCACGGCTCCAAGCTTGGTCTTCTTTCCATTGCAACACATGACCTCTGGCTTTGGTGGGGATTTTTAAGGCAGCCTTGAGTGAAGAGTTCCGAGACCCCTACCCCAAGCATCCTAGTGGGTCTGGCAGGTGCGCTCAGATAGCTGGCACCCCAAGACCTGGTGGGTGCTGGGAAAGGTCTCAACAGACAAGCAGGCGTCCTGTTGTAACCAGGAGCCACCCGACACAAGCCGACTTCTAAGAAATCACACCAGGCACTCAATGTCCATGACTTCTTATCTGGACTGTCTGGGGTTCTTCTCATGCACCTGGGGTCTGGGTTCAGGATGAGAACGGAGGATCTGAGAGTAGGGACAAGAGGGTGAGAAAATGGCTGCTGGGCATCAGTTTCAGCCTAAGCTTTGAAAGAGCAGAGGAGGTCCAAGAGGGGCACTGGGAGAAGTAAGCCATCGGGGCCTTTTCCTACACAGACCCACCAGCCCAGCGGGAGCTAGGTAGCTTTCTGACTGACACAGAAAGAAGGCAGCGCTCATTTGTTGTTCAGTCATTTCAGTCATGCCCAATGCTTCGTGACCCCATTTGGGGTTTTCTTGGCAAAGACACTGGAGTGGTTTGCCATTGCCTTCTCTAGTTCATTTTACAGATGATGAAACTGAGGCAAACAGGATTAAATGACTTACCCAAGGTGACGCAGCTAGGAAGTTTCAAAGGCAGGATTTGAATCCAGGCCTTCTTGACCCCAAGTCCAGTGCCCTATCCACTGTGATATACTGCTTCTATTCCCTCTTTTCTGAGGAGGAGGAGGAAATGGAGCTGGGTGGAGGGTAAGAGATTTGCCCCAGAGAGACTGGGATGTTATAGGAGTTAGGAGAGAGAGACCCCCAGTATATTCCCTGGTGAAAGCTTTCCTCCCTTTCTGTGGTGCAGAAAAGGGCCAGGGTGTGGGGGCAAGAAAGGAGATAGCCACAAGGGGAAGAAACAGTCTGTGATTCCTCAGGGGTATTTAGGCACATCAGGAAGTAGCCTTGGGGCCAGTGCAGTGGCTTGTGGGTATGTGAGATTAGACTGTGAGTCAGAGAGAGTTAAAGCCCAGAATGTAGGAACCCGGCAGAGGAAGTGAAAACAGACTGTGGAGTGGGGTAGAGTTGAAGCCTGGTCACTCTCCCGGCTCCACGTGACAGCCCCCAACACCCAGCTGGGGATGTTTGCCTCCCTCGACAGGCTTCCTATAGTGGAAGGAGCAGTGAAATCAGATGGGGGGCAAGCGTTCAGACCTTAAATCTGCCACCTGGTGTCCTGGGGCAAGCCGGTGCCCTTCTCTGGGCTGTTACCTCATCTACAAAAGGCAAGGTTTAGACTCAATCTTCTCTGAGGTCTCTGGGCTCCCCAGGGCCTAGACCCTCATGCTGAGGAAAGGCTGGAAGGTCCAGCTCCTGTTTCCACAGAGTGGCCCCTCAACTCACTAAAGACTGGCCTTCTGATCTGTAACCTCTGTGGCAAATCACCCTCAGCTATGTGGGAGGGGAGTTATCCCAGCTCCGAAAGTGAATTCACAGACAGGGTCAAAAAGAAGCAGGGTACGTGAGTCTATCAGTTTAGACAGCAGCTTCAATGCAAACAGATTGAGAGCTGGAAGGGACCTTGACTTGGCCACTGAGTAGGCACTATAGGAATGCTTATTCCTTTCCCCCTTCCCACTGGCCATTACTTCTCCCCCTGCCTATGTCTGAAGCTCTCTGGGCCAGCGGCACCCTTTGGCACAGCTGCCCCAGAGGCCCTCAGGCTAAATGGCGCCTACTTCCTCTTCTAAGTGAACTTTTCTGTTCCTTGAGTGGGAGGTTTCCATGGGCATCCACATCTCAGAAGAAACTCTGAGCGTCCTCAGTGTCCAAGGCTGCTGATCCATGGGAGATGAGAGCCAGGGCAAAAGGCAGCTAGCAGAGGGAAGGGACAGAAAGGTGATCAGGCTAATTCTTCCAACTGATTCATGAGGCTCCATGCTCTAATTTGAAATTCATTCCTGCTACAGCACCTCCTCCCTTTCCTGTTATCTGCCCTTTGCTGTCAGCATGATTTGGGAGTAAATCATCCTAGTCTCTGTCTCTGTTCCTACGCCAGTGGGAAGCCAGGCTCCTTCAGACCACGAGGTGGCTTACCTGGATTATAAGCCCAGGATCTAAGAAGAAAGAACAGCCTCTGAAGCCTAGCAAATTCAAGCCTATAAAGGGATGGGTCACAGACACCAAGTCCTTAGGTCTATGGGCCATTCTAATTTTATGACTGTTTTATTTCTTCCATCTCCTACTCAGGAGACATGCCCTGTCACTGGAATCTGTTCTTTAAGCAGGTATGGAATCAAACAGGGTCCCCAGGAAAGAAGGGAATTGGAGACAACAGTTGAGTCTGGGCACAGGGGTCACATTTGTTGACTTAGGTGTCGTTTATACAATAACAAAACAAATGGTTGAAAAGCAATAGATTAAAGCAAAGGTTTCAAACTAGTGGATGGGATGTTAGAGACCAGCTGTAAGCCAACCCCATCATTGTACAAATGGGAAACTGATAGGAAGTGATTTAAGCAGGTCAGAGATAGAAAATGGCCCAGCTGGAACTCGAACCCAGGTCTTTGGGCTCCCAAACCAGTAGTGTTCTTTTTCCTACCTCCAGAGACAAGAATGGCCAAAGATGGAAGAGAAAAGCGCAAAAGCAGATTTCTGAGCAGAGGAAGGCGAGGGAGAGCTTCACAGCCACTCACCTGTTGACTAACAAGAAGTTCCCTATGAGGCACAGAACAGCAGGCACTGTGGAGGCGATGGAGATGTAACTCTCAAAATAGCTCTGTAAACAAAGAAAGCAGAAAGTTGTAAAACTGTAGGAAGGGAGTCGAGTGAGATACTCGAAACAGACACCGAGCCCTTCTCTGGTTAGGGGCCAGTTTCTCCACATCCCTTTTTAACTATAAGGCCTGGGAATGAATGATTGAATAAATGAATGAATGAATGAATGAATGTTTGTTAAGTGCTTACTCTACAATGAAGTGAATCCAGTGAGATCAGTAGTACTTTCCCTAGTTCCTTACTAGGGCAGAATGAAATTGTTTGACTACCAGATTTCTGCAGCTCCAAAACCCTTCTCCCTCTCATATTCCCAGTGGCCCAAACTGTCCCCACCTTCCCCATCTTGTGGATAATTTGAGTGGAGGAGTCCTGAGGCAATGGGAAAGCAAGTAAGTGTATTTTTAAAAAAAAAAATCATTAGGGGGGCAGCTAGATGGCACAGTGGCACCAACCCTGGATTCAGGAGGACCTGAGTTCAAATCCAGCCTCAGACACATAACACTTACCAGCTGTGTGACCCTGAGCAAGTCACTTAACCCCATTGCCTAGACAAAAAAAAAAAAGAAACAAACAAAAAAATCATTTGTCTTAATGAGAACCATTTGTAGGGAGGTCCTAGCCCCATGGGGTGCTCTGGACATTTGGAGTCCTGGTTCCCCATGTGCCTGACACTCTGGCCTACCTCCTCCTCCCAGCAGGACTCAGACTCCTGCCCCTTGGAGTCCTGGGCTTTGAGAAGGTGAGCTTTCACCTGAATACGCCCAGAACCAGGCCACTGGGCCCTTTCCCAGCCAGCTCCACACCCCTAACTACCCCTCCCCTAGATTCTCCGTAGGCATTATCTTCCCCTATTAGAATGGAAGCTCTCTGAAGGTAAGGACTGGTTTGCTTCCTTATAGTTCTATTATCAGTATGTAACAGTGGCAGGCACACAGTAAGCACTTAATAAATGCTTTTTCTTTCATTCATTCCTGGGCCCCACATTCCAGAAGGGACATTGACAGACGGGAGAACAGCCAGAAAAGGGTGACCAGGCCGAGAAGGGAACTTGAAATCCTACCACACGAGGAACAGTTAAAGGAAGCATCTCTCTCCCACTCCCAAGTAGAACGTAAGCTCCTTGAGGGCAGGAATGATTTCATTTTGGCCTTTTTCTATCCCCATTACATTGTGCAGTACCTTTCACACAGAATAACCATAGATCTTGAATTAGAAGGAACTTCCGAGGCCACTTAGTTTAAATCCTTCATTTTACAGATGAGAAAACTGAGGCCAAAGAAGATGAAGTGATACCCTCAAGGCCCCAGAGGTAGAAAGCATCAGAGGCGTCTTCTGAACCCAGGGCCCTTGACTCCAGAAGCCAAGGCTCAGTTCACTGATTTCAATAATTGTTTCTCTAATTGAAAAAAGAATAAATCCTTGGTTTTGCCAGGATTGGGGGGAAAGACGAAATATTCTGAATAGAGTCATAACTAGGAATTCTTGCTCCTGAGGAAAATTCAGGGAGGGAGGTGGGAAGTGGGAGTGGCAGCTGCACAGTCTGACGAGGTACAGTTGTGCTAGGAAAAGGGGAGCCCTTTCCATCATTCAGAGAGGCTGGACTAGACCCCACAAAGCAGTGAGGGAGAGGCGGACCCCAGGAGAGGAGAACCACGGTGGCGGGATGCTGGGTATTCCAGACACAAGTGGCCGTCATACCTTATACGCTGGTGCTATAAGAAAGACCAGAGGGCCCACTTTGCTACCACCCATCTAGCCCAGTTTTCTAAGGTTAGCTGTCTACTGTGGGCAAAAATTCCAAGAGTGACCCAACAATTGTTACAGCTCAACCAAAGGTCTCAGTCCTCACACGGGAAGCTGGGAGCTGCTGGAAATGTGGCCCAGCCCCTTTCCCTGCTGGGAAACTTTGTCCAGCTGCTGGATTCACTCTTTCAGTGGAGCTATTATATAAGGTCAAAACCAGGCTGTGACAGCGATGCAACCAATCAGGGCCAGGTTAAGACTGAAGTGCATTTTCCTGGAGTCAGCAAAAAGGCACAGTGGCCAAAGAGAGGCACGTGAGACGGCAAGCTGCCCGCGTCCCTTCAGTGACAGTGACAGATGCCACAACAGCCCAAGGGGACATCATGACCCAGCACACACAACATCCAGATGCTTATTAGGGAGGTCAGGCTGCGGCTTGGTGAGGCCCGACGCTGAGCACGGTCATGTCCTCCCGCCACCTCTGCCCAGCTAACTCTCTTAACACACTCCCCTCTGCTCTTCTGTCATCCCCTGGCTCTCTCCTCTCCCCCAAAGAGTGAGCCGTCCATCGCCCATGGATTTTAAGAACTTCGGCAATTTCAGCAACTATGCACCGGAGTGATTGCTCCAGGGAGTTTTAAAAACAATGTCAGTGGGAGATTAGGTGGTTCCAGGTACTTGGGTGCTGGATGACCCCTCAGTGCCCAGGCAGTGTCAGCTGGCAGCTTGGGACTGATGTGGGCAAAGCTGGCCAGTCCCTGTAGGCTGACCTTTATGGTATCTTAAGGATGATCATTGCGGCATCAGAGTAGGAAAGAGCAGGACCCCCTCTCCTGGCCTTATCCAATAGGCAGCCTTCTACCTTCACAAAATTTCTCACTCTCAGCCCCCTGCCCCAAGTTCAGACCCTCATCAGGTCTCCGTTGAACTATTCCATTGGGATCTCCTCTGCTCTTCCTGACTCAGTCCTCACCAGGGTGAAGACTGCTTTGTAGGTATTCCATGGAGAAGCCTCTTGTCCCAGCACAAGTTGAACTAGGTGGTCCATGAGAGCCTCCCAACTCTGAGATTCTTCTGCAATTCCTTCTTTTCCAACTTCCTCATCCATTATTCTCCTCCATATACTCTTCACACCAGCCCTCTCGCTATGTGTCACACATGGCCCTCCTCCCATCTCTGCGCCTTTGCACTGACTGTCCCTCATGCCTGGAATGCCCTCCCTCCTCACCTCCACCTTCTGGAATCCCTTGTTTCCTTCAGAACTCAGCTCAGGCACCACCTTTTACGCAGAGCTTTTCCTGGACCCCCGGATGCTGGTGCCAATGCCTCCTCGCTGGAGGGGCGGAGAGCTAGAGCCACTTAAAAGGCCTCCTGAGGTGATTATTAAAGTTTTAGCGTGAAATCAACAGACTCTACAAATCAGGGCTTAACTCTTACTCTCTTGATCATCCAGACTCAAGAAAGTGGTGGGGGAAATATTAATACTGCGGATTCAACTTAAAAGTGTGTCATGCACACTCACACTCACACCCACACCCACACCCACACCCACCCACCCACCCACACACACCCCCCCCACACCCATACACACACCCACACACACTCCAGCTCTCCTGACAGAAGGGAAGTTCTGTGAGGACAAGGCCTATTTCATTTGTGCCTGACGCCATGCCCAGCACATGGTAGGAACTTACTAAATGCTTCTAAACTGATTTATTGACAGAACAAGGTAGAGAGTGAAGCCTGAACCACAGGCCTGAGGGTCTTTAAGAAGGGGTTGATCCACTCCTTAAGCAGCTTAGAAGGAAAGACAGAACAGGAGATGGAAACAAGGAAAGTGGGGATGAGAAGCCTTGATTTACAGAAAAAAATGTATCAAAACTTCAATGAACAGAAATATTCTCCTTCTCTACCTGTCAAATTCCTTGTTGTTGTTCAGTCATTTTTCAGTCATGTCCAACTCTTTGTGTCCCCATTTGGGGTTTTCTTGGCAAAGATACTGGAGTGGTTTGCCATTCCCTTCTCCAGCTCATTTTACAGATGAGAAAACTGAGGCAGACAGAAGTTAAGTGACTTGCCCAGGGTCACACAGCTAGTAAGTGTTTGAAGCCAGATTTGAACTCAGGAAGATAAGTCTTCCTGACTCCAGACCCAATGTTCTGGGCACTATGGTGCCGCCACCTAGCCATCCTGTTGAATTCCTATTCACTCTTTAAAGTCCAACCCAAATGCCGTCTCTTCAATGAAGCATTCCCCGATTCCTGACACCTGCCCATGGACACCAATGACTTTTCTTCCCCTGAATCTCACACAGAGCCTCATTATATAGAGGCAGCTGGTGGTGAGGTGTATAGAGCACTGGGCCTAGAGTCAGGAAGACCTGAGTTCAGATAAGTGCACAAGAGAGGTATACAGTAGGGAAAGGGCAAGAAATAAGCATTTATATAGCCCCTCCTTAGTGCCAGGCACTGCACCAATCTCAATTTTATCTCAATTTTCACAACCTTGCAAAATAAGTACTATTATTATCTTCATTTTGCAGTTGAGGAAACTGAGGCAGACAGTAGCTAAGTGATTTTTCCGGGGTCATACCGCCAGTAAGCATCTGAGGTCCCTTTAAGGCTTGGCCAGTACCATGCTGTAACCATCTTTCTATCTCTCTCCCTATCCCCAGCATAGTGCTCCACACAGACAGAGCAGCTGCTTAAACGTTGGCTGAATCTAGGGTCACAGGTGTAGTCCTAGAAAGAAGCCTGAGAGCCCATCTGGGCCAACTCCTTCATTCTGCAGACTCAGACACTAAGGTTAAGTCACGTGTTGAAGGTCACACTGGTAGGGTAGTATCAGAAGCAGAATTTGAACCCAGGCCCTCTGACTCCAGGGTCAGTATTTTTTCCTCTGTTCCCCACTGCCTCTTCTTCTGAACTGCCTTGTCCTGTCCCCAGTAGTAACTGATGTTCCATTCAGTCCTCCATTCAGCACCCCTGCACAGCCATGAAGACCTGAGCTCCTCTGGTCCAAATGAACCAGCCTTTGCCACAGCATGATTTCCTAAAACTTTTATAATCTTTGGAAATGGTTTGTGCTCAATGGAAAAACCAAGACACCCAAGAGTTTTAAGCAAGGCACACAGTCTATTTTTCATCATCCCCCCACAGCCAGAGCTTTGGGGCTGCCTGCCCACAAAGTCCTTTGATGTGTGCTCAGGGGGAACAGAGACCTACTAATACCAGCCCGGCCAGAAAGGGATCAATCAGG